GCGCAGCTTCCGAACACAGTTTGATGTTGTTTTTATTTTTCTTCTACATATGTGATGATTTCTGTTTTTTCTTGTAAATCCTAGATGGCGAAAAAAAGGCTAAGAAGAGGCCATATGAGGAGATCCAACCAGATGATGAGGACTTTGCTTCCCAGAGCTCCCCGACTGAGCCCCCACAGGTGCTTGCCTAGACAAATAGTGTAGCCAAAAATACAAGTGTTAATAAAATGATACTCTTGGCCACATAGAGGTGATTTATTGATACTTTTTACAGTTGATACAGCTGCCTCTGGATGGATTTATATTGTTAAGCTTTGTTTATATTCCCGTGAGACACTGTGGCGCACTCCTCCGCAGATGGTGCACGAGTGACGAACATGCACGGAGGCCTTTATGCTTAGTGCTTCAGTGCAGTATTCTCTGAGCGTTCAAAAAAAACAGTCTGTGAATAAGCAACAAGTCAACAGTTGTTACTGGGAGGACCTCATTATTAAAGATGGTTACACTGCCAGCTGCCTGGAAAACTGTTGCTCCAACTTACCAAGCATTGCCTGTGTACTGTACTTACTGTCACTTACAAATTAAAACAGTTCAGTGAAGTTTAGAGTCATTTGGCTGCCCCTTACCCAAACAAAATATCCTGTTAGGAAGCAAAAGTCAACGAGTGTTTACCAGAAGAACATGGTCTTCTGGTAAACACATCCGCTACCCTTCAGCTCCTCAATGCTGAGGATGCATTGATCTGTTTATGGCTAAAAGCGACGCTACTGATGTTCCAGAATCAGTTTATTTAACATTAGGCTGTGCAAAACTACTGACGAAGCCCATTAGAGGGCTACGCACATACTCATAGTTACATCTGGAAATGAAATGCGCAGTTTGCAGCTAGTTACAAACATTCAGAGGTGCACAACCAAGCGGCAAGTGATGACATTTTTGGCACGCTCACTCTCGCACCGAGGACATTGTGGCGAGCATAAACCAGGCCTAATACTTCCTGTCTCTGCTGCCACTCAAATATTGTTCATATTTGGCACATATGTTAACTACCGATTGACTGTACTTTCTTCCTTAACCTCTCTCCTGCCTTTGTTCTTTTCACCTCCCTCCCTCTACCTCAGACAGCAGAGTTAATCCGAGCTCTGCAGGAGCTTGAAAATGCAGCCTCTGGCGACTCAGTGCTGCGTCAGCGCATCTCCTCCCTTCCTGCTGAGGTGCAAGACACATCACTGCTTCACAGGATCACAGGTAGGAGGCAGGACACAACACACTGTTGTACACTGTATGTATACTGTACACACACAACTCTGTTTCACAGCTCAGTAATACTTATTGGTACTAATTAGTTAATTAAGTAATTGCCTTCCTGGGGACCAGGGTGGCGTACTAAGTAGAAACACAGCTATTAAAACAATAGACCAAGGTGCATTATATTTTATTTTCTATATGGCTCAAATACCAGAGAATTTTAACACTATAATATAATGGAGCAGTCATTTATTGACATTTACTTCCCCTTAAATGCCTAAATTTTAAAATAGATTTGTTTTTGTTAACAAAAGTGTTGGCTATAATGTTATTGATATGAGTGGAATCGGATAAATAGACACCCCAGACACATATAAACATGCTGTACATTAGAGTTGAGTAACGTCTGATATATAGTCAAAGATGATAGAAGATACAGTTTCCTATACAAAGATTAGTGAAACATTTCTAAGTCACTGAACCACATATTATACATTAGAAGGCCACAAAGCACTTCAACAAACTGAGGTGACTTTGAGCAGAACACTGAGACTACACAGATAAAAAGGACTAAAATGTTTGATTTGCAAGTGTTTATACAGTAACTATTTGCATTGTGCCAGTATTGATGGATAACTGAATGACCTCCAGTTGAACCCACTAGACTGGTTATCTTTAAGCATTATGCTCCACTCTCTGTCTACTTTTTGTGCTTTAGATAAAGAATCAGGGGAGCGGCTTTCCCGGCTGGTGGAGGAGGCGTGTATGCTGCTAGCAGACTACAGCGGCCGCTTGGCGGCAGAGATTGACGATAGGAGGCAGCTCACACGCACACTAACGGTCTTCCTGCAAAGTCAAAAGGACGGCCTGGCCCAGAACGAGCAGAAACTCGAAGTGCGTAAATCACTTTTTTGCTTTTAATTACTGATTGTTTATCTGTGTACCTTGTCTACCTCACCTTTGTGTCATCATGATTGATTCTCAGTGTTCATCTGTCTGCGTAGCCGTGTGGTCACGCTTCTTGTCTGTCAACTTTTTGAAGTAACATTTCTTTTCATGTATTTCAGCATGTTGCATACTTCTGCAGAGTGCCTGTTTTGTTGCTGATTCAGACTGTAGATTTCAGACTAGAGTTTAATTTGAGTGTTAGGTCTGCTGGCGTTTTCAAACAGAGGAAAGATTCCTGAATCAGATACACTCTTGAAATCCAAGTAAGATTTTTCCATCATTGGGAAATGCTTGTTCTTTTAGCCTTTATCATTCAACTCAATTTGTATCTCCCACAAGGTAAGTATCGACCAAAATACTTGATCTTGAACAGCTCCACTACAGATTTTCTTGTTTTCTCATAACTATTCTTTTTTTTTGTGTGTGTGTTGACAATAACTGTCCAGATTTTATCCAAAGGACACCAAGAGGACAAAGTATTTAACATTTGTATCTTCACACAGTCAAGTCTTTTGTAATAAAAAAAAACTGAAAATAAAAAATAAAACTGATTTTGTGAGTGCTTTTATTTTGCTGTAACTTGCAACTCCTGGTGGTACATGCATTGTACAAATGTTCAATTTCCATAATAGTCTATGATAACAGTATTTCATTGTTTTGTAGTATTGACACGCGATAAATTCTAGCCACACACTCATTGTTAAATTAAGCTCAGTCCAATAGATAGATAATAGCTCAAATTGAGGAAAACTCATAATGTTGTTACATTTCAAACCAAAACTAAGAAAAGAGACAGCAGGTTTTAGGATTAAGATTATTTTGCCTGTTAACACTAATTTATTAGATTTTCGTCAGTATTGATGACATGATATAAGTGGAAGCCTCCTGTGGCAACACACATACATGCATCAGCTGTTTGGCAAACATACAATAAGCATGTGCGTGCAGCAAAGCCAGAACAGCGATAAAACATTTGATTAACACTTAATGTATCTTTTAAGTAGTAAATATTTGTGTAAATACATGAATGAAGTGAAGTAATCTGTTAACATGGCAGGTTCCATTGCTTACCGGCCTTCAGTTGTGTGTAACAGCTGTTATTTCTGTGATAATGTAATTCTAGTACATCACGGGGATATAAAATAACAACTTCCCTGCCTACATACGTTGTTATTTTGGTGATCTTTCATGTCTTTCATAGTTGGAAGTGGAAGTAAACCATGTAGAAAGCTAGTCTCAGCTTGACCTTGAAGTAAAAGTTTTGTTTTTCAAATATCGTCATACATTCAGTTGTTTGAAAGAGGGTTTTAAGCTCCAGAATATGTATTTAACATGCTCACACAAACATTTCTCATATATGTTTGTGCTTTGAGATTAAAGTATTTGGCCAGAAATCCAAACTTTGTTATGAGATTTCACTTTCAGACCTTTAAGTGTTCTGTGGTGTACAATGCAATACAAAGTTATCATACAAGTGACATAACCTTATTTCCATTTTTATGTTCACTGCAGTGCATATTCTTGATTCAGATTTTCTAATAACTGAACCCTTACAACTGTCTAAAAAAAAAATGTGTTTCCAAAATATTGCTGTTGAGACTCATTTACACTGTAAGATCTTTGAGCTCTCATGGACCTTTTCTGCTGTGGATTTCTTTCAGGAATACAAACGCAAACTAGCGAGGGTGACCCAGGTCCGGAAAGAGCTGCGTTCACGTCTGAACAATCTTCCAGGAGGACTCTACAACTCTTCAAACTGACTGAACCTCCGGACTGGATACCTTCGCCTCCTGCTACTGAAACATCTCAACCTGTCTCTTAGATATCTGATCAGTGACATTGCCGTAGTCCTCTGTTCTTACTACTGGAGCAGTGTCTGTGCCCCCTCCCCATATGGTGACCTGTGGTTCTCATTCTGTTTTCAACAGATTATTTATCCACATGTTTTTTTTATTAACAGATTTGTCTTCTTTTTCTTGTCTGTGAGCTCATCTCATTGTATATTAAGACTCGTAATCATCAGACACAGGCCTCTCATGCTTTGGCCCCTGCCCAGATAACTTTTACAGCTTTAAAGTGTTATGGGTGATGCTGGTGTGATATTTTTTTATTTATAGTGACTTAAGATAATGCACCAGAGTACATCCCCTTAGTGTGATCATTCATAACAATTTTCTGTATTTTGGTTCATAACTTTATTTTATTATTTCTGTAAATGCATCTGTCTAATTCTTGGTTATATAGCTCTTTGCAGCAGTTCTTAAAAGCTGAATTGTTGTTTTCATGTAGTGTGATAATGGCCTCTGAAGAGAACTGGTATTCTGAATCTGAGTAGTAAGCCCATGAAAGCAAATCAAAACACTTATTTATCATTTACATAAGGTTTCTTCGTGAGAGTGGGCTTGTAAATCATTGTTCAGTGTACATATTCAAATTTGCATGTAAATATGATGAGAGTTAGACCCGTAAGTGCTTATGATTTGTATCTGTGTCAACATGGCTTGCAAAATGGTCATTCAGACAAATTCCTGGGGTATATCTGTACATCGACACCTCCACTGTACTGAAATAATGAGCGAAGGAGTCTGTTCTCTTGTTTACTGTATCATACTGCTTCACAGATGTATCCTTAAGTCTACTGAATGCTGTGCAGATGCCTCACACAGCCTCATAGTTGCCCCAGTTTCCAAAGCCAGACTTTTATTTGTTTGTTTGTTTTTGTACATATGATGCAAATTCTTCTTAGAACCAAATAAACAGAAAACGTACAAATCTTTGCAGTATGTGCCTCTGGATTTGATTGCAAGTGATGTCCTTGGCCAGCAGAGGGCGTCCATCTATCGGGTGCGCTCGTTTTTAACACCGTGTGCTGCTTCTTTTACGGTGTCTACGGCACACTGTGTGTTAGGGTGAACTGTACAAACACAGGAAGTAGCCATCACTAATCCAATGTAGTTAAATATAAGTAGCTGAATGGAACATAATATATAATATATATTATGTAATGATTACAAATACACGAATCACACATACGCTAACTGGTTCTTGTTAGCAAGATAGCGCGAACTTAATTCAGCGTACAAAGACATTAGTGGCGAGTTAGTTAAATACCTGCTAAGCTAAGCTAACGTCATGAGCTGTCTCTTGTAAACTAACG